AATTGCAGGTGTTGATCTCAATTTGCACCCAAAGCATCCTGAACTCTCTACCCCACCTGCCAACTCTAATAATGAACAGCACTCTTGACCTCCTGCCTAAAACAACCCATGAAAACTCACCCCCATATTTTTTTTACACTGAGGAGTCAGTAAGTTCTGTTAGAGCTGTGGCCTCTGTGGTTTCGTTCGTTTGTACTTAGACAAAAGTACTGGGTTTGTCTCAAAGGTGCTTTTCTGGCTTTTCCCTCTTGCACTTGGATCTGCAGTGTTTACTCAAAACACGGGCTGAGCCAGAGAAGTTGCCTTTGCACAAAGGGCCCCGAAGTGCGTGAGACTCGTCCTGTTCGAGTTCTTGTGAAGTGCAGGAGAAGGTGTTACCAGCACGATCTGGACAGGAAATAAAGCTCTTATTCCCACCATAAATGCTGTCTAGTGGAGCAGGTCAGATGAGAGATCTCATACAATTGCTCGTAGTGTTGAGCCCTCCAAGGGTGTTGGCAGCCTCAGCTCCCACTGATGGGAGTGGTTGGTCCCGCTGGTCAGGCTTTGTGGAGGCAGGTGACGACTTCCAAAATGCCTCCTTGCATGACAGGCTAACTTCTGCTTAGGGGAAAGTGAAGAGCCTGTGGTTGGGTTTCCTCTTTCTTTTGCAGCCTAGGCACTGCTTGGCTGTTTCTGGCCCAGGCACTGCCAAGGCAGCTGGCTTTGGCACCTCAACAAAGATGCAGATGAGCTACAAGCACACAACTTTCCACAGTTCTGAGTTAAACCAGCTGCTGTGCCTTTAGACAGGAACAAGGCAGTTTCTGCACAACCTCTGGACAATTCCTGTATACTGAAACTAATCATAAGTCTCCTCTAATCTCCTACATCACTTTCATTCTATGAAACCTTTGCTGGTTGGAAAAAGATATATTTGTATGCCCTGGAATGAAGATGCACTGAAACTGTGCTAAAGCCAGAGGTTTGTACATGCATTATCTTCTCTGTGATCTCACATCCCATGTACCTGGAGTTCTCTCCAGAGAATCTCAGAGTCAAAGGAGAACTGTAGGAAGTGTGGCGTCCACTTCATGTTGTCTTTTATGGGAAAAATTATTGCAGGTGACCATCGCTTGGATGACTATTCTGGATTTTCTTGCAAGCTTTTGCAATGATCTTGCAGAGGAAAATATTTCCTGCATATTTCTTGAAATTAATTTCTGCTCTGAGTCCCAAGACTATGTTTGAATTAAAGTAATTTTTATTCTTCTAAAAAAAAACCACAATCTCACTTTACCAGGTGGGGACCTGGCACTGCAGGGGATGGAGAAGCTGCTGGAATGAGGGTAGATTTGTTTTTCGCCTGGGAAGAGGCCAACAGAAGAGGTTTTATGAGATGAAGGAGAGACAAGGAAAGAAAGTGAAACCAAGCAGTCAACTTGGTAGCTGCAATCTTTGATCAGTGGCTGTCTGCAAGCAGCAACACAGCTCTGTGATTAGATGTACATGCTCATTACATGTTGTACTCTCCAAGCAGGCATTGTAAATACAGCACAACGTATTCTGCTTCCTTCTGCCCAAATATCTTTTTTCATCTATATTGCATTAAGACCTTGAGGCCTATCATCAGGGAGAGAAAAAATACAATTTTCTTATTGTACAATGCATTTCATTCCCAGCTGCTGTATTAAATTTATTCCTATTTGAAGTAGTGTCTGTGAGTATAAATCATTTAAGTTTATATGTTTTTGTTGCTGTGGCAACTGTTTGACTAATTGAATTCCAAAGTGTCTGTCTGTATTTTAGAGCTATGATAAAGGGCACACAGATTCTTAGCAGCAGGAGTCTGTAATGAGATGGGGGGAACAGGCAGTCCTGTCAAAATATGTGCTCAGTCTCCTGGGCAGTGGTACCTTTGGCAATGGGCAAGGAGGACAAGGGCTGGGGAGGAGCCAGAGCTACCTGTGAGCTCTCACTGTGGGTACCATACTCAGAAACAATGTTCATGCCCTTAGCAGGATGGTAAGGCATGGAGAGCCTGTAACTTGGCATTGAGGAGATCATGTTTTACCTCTGTGCCTATTTTCCCCATAATTCATCAGGTCTCAGAGGACATGAAGTGCTGGTGTACTTCATGGTTATAAACAAGCCCAGGTTGTAGTAGGTTCCATCTTCTTTCCATGGGGACTTCAAATGAGCTCCTGGGGCTTATCTACTGTCTGAGATCATGCAAGTGCTCCTAAAGGATTTATTTCCCCATCAGTTTTTAGCAGGAAAAGTCTCCTCAGAGCTATGCCAAAGGACTAGGGAATACTGGAGTGTCCTGAATCTCTCCAGGGATAATTTCTACCCTGTTCTCTCACTTACTATTTTTTTTCCTGCTGCAAAGCAGAGGTGGATATCCTCCTAGACTAAAGCAGGAGGACAAAAGCATTAAAACTTAACTCTTTGCAAGGAAATTGTCCTAGGTGGGTGTAAAGAGCAATTCCTTTGCAAGCAGAATGTTCCAGACAGGAACTGACCCACCTGTGCCATTCCCAGCTTGTTGTGGCAACAGGAATGGGCTCCTTTTTTTGTGTGTTAATTATGTAGGTGTTTATTATGGTCACAAAATGTTAATAGAAAGCCTAATGGAAATCATGCTGGCTAATGAGAAGCTCCCGAATACCTGCTGCTTTTCTCTGGGAATAACAAAAGCCACAATTCAATAGGAAATTATTTGTCCCATTCCTGCCTTGTGCTTTTACCTTGTGATTGCATCTTGTTTTTAACCTTTCATCTGACTCTCTCTGCAACCAGGGGGAAGGCCAGGACCTCTTCATTCTCCCTGCCCAGAGGGCATGCAGGGGTCTGCTTGGCTTCCCTGCTTTCTGAAGGGTAATCTGTGAAGGGTTGTATGGAGCTTGAAAAGGTCACAGGGAGCCCTGAGCAGATCAAGTCCTTCCATTGTCCACTTCCCACAAGGGATGCTGTCCAGTCTGGGGCAAGTGCCTTTGGCCTGACAGCCTCCTCAGCTGCTGTTTATTTTGGTGGGGTTTTATTTCCAGCCAATTAGATGCTCCACCAGCTGCTGCATGCTCCTGAAACCACCTCATCCTGCACAGGCAAAGGCAAACTGCAGCGGGTACTGGGAGCAGGCAGAACAGGGTGACTCCTAGGGAACCTGGTCAAAGTGGGATTTTTTTTTTTTTCTTTATTGCATTTCAGCTGCTGGTTTATTATTCTGATGCTGAGAAAGGAAAGGGAGCTGTTTTGTGAGCAGTGAGGTGAAGCCTGGTTTGGGACCCCAGAAAGCAGCAGGAATGAATAGCTAGTATAGCATTTCCAGGGAAGGGAGCAAATTCCTTGTTGAACAAGAGCAGAAGGCAGAAGAATGATGGGTCGGAGTAGGGGCATGTGTGTGTACAGGGTAGGGAGGGGTGTCACACTGAGAGGCTACTGGTGAGAAAGTGGGTGTGTGATGGACTGGGGGTGGGATGTGTTGATTTTTGGGAGAATGGGTGTATATGACCAATATATGCCTTTGTGTTCACCCACATGTGGAGAGCACACATCTCTAACTTCCATAGGGGAGAACAGGTGTCCCTCAGGAAAATAAAAACCAAAATGAAACAAAAAAAAATTAAAAAAAAAGCCCAAACTCAGAAGGCAAAATCCATTGGTGATATTGGAAAGCTGCATGGTTGAAGCTGTGAATGAAGTAAGAGGCTATGCTCACCAGGCAATACGGAAACTCCCAGCTGGGACCAAGTTTCACATTTTTTCCCTCGTGGGCAGAAATTGAATGCTTCTGTCTTTGCCTGCCAAAAATAATAGTTGAAAAAAAAGTGGTCTTACTGCTGCAGGAAGAGCCAAACATTTCCCTCATGGGCTGTCTGAAAGAACAGTTGTGAAAACACCAGATTTCACTGTAAAGGTGGGATTTCTCAACGGTGAGGAACTGCAAATGAGGCATGTTGCAGGGTCCATATGGAGTTGCTGGTAGGAACTCAATACCAGGCTCTTGGAAGCATTTCAGAAGGGGCTTTCAGGAAACAGCAGAAAAGAAGTTCAAATGACTGGCTCTCAGTGATACAGAATGCTGTAAAAATAGCATCTGAGCATCTCCTGTTACCTGGGCACTGGTACCCAGATCCTGTCGAGTGATTTCTCTGGCATCCATTCTCCCTGCCTTGACATTAACAGGTTGTGCAGATTATTTTATGATCAATAAATATCCAGGCAGACACTGTGAAATTCCAATCAGAAAAATTTACAGCATTAAGGCAGATATTGTATAGCAGGATATAAATAAATAGAAATTGTCAGTCAAATTTCTGGCAGCTGGAGTCTGGTGTCAGTTGCAGTAAATTAAGTGTTACTTCACAAATCATCTTTATAGTTTTTTACAGTAAGTGTATCTGTGCAAAGAGGGGTTTTTTTCAGCTTGCAATGGTAAATATCCTCTGGTTGCTGTGATTTCAGCATGAAGCCTGGAATCAAAGGGAAACAAGTGACAGCAGTGGATTTTGCCATAATCCTGAGATTTGTTCCCAGCCCCAAGATTGGAGTTGAGTTTGGGTGCTGAGCAATCCAAGCAGCAAGAAGCCAACAATATGACAGAGAAGAGACTGGATCCTTCTAAGCCAAGGGGAAATTTCTGCACCCTGGGAAGGCTGATTGATGTAATGCTGCAGAGATCCACCAAAAGGAGAGGAGAAGAATGGAATCCTGTTGTCTCTACCAGGATGAAGGGAGCTGTGATTGGTGCAGGCTGCATCTGGAGGTAGGTGGGAAGGATGGATTGGACCAGCAGAGAGATCACAATTTACTGCAGCTGGGACAGCATTTTACCTACAGATTATTACCTTTTGTTAACAACACTTACCAGCCTGACCAGCAACATAAAATTCCTACAACATCATGTGAAGGTTTCTGTACTGTTGAGATAACTGAAAATGGCATAAATTTTAAGTGTCAGGTTTCTATGAATTAAAGCTGAATGTTCAACATGGAACAAAGAGGAGAGGAGGACCTGCTGGTGGTAGTTTTGTACTTTATTTGAGAAGAGAGAGCTACATAAACTATGTCAGGAGGGTACAGGTCTACACATAGTTTCATCAATCAATAAATGGAGTTGTTAACGTAACACTGAGGATATGATACTTTGAAGAAGACATAGACACATGACCAAAGAGTATTTACAGCTCTAACATACAATATATTTATACTTGAGAGAGAGATCCGTGTGCATCTGTGCACACAGGTACCACTGTGCACACTCGGTGCACGCACGCGCACACGTAAATAGGTATAAAAGGCTTTAAAAAAAACCTTACTTAGTTCAAGAAATGAGTCTGCCTGTCATCTGCAGCAACTGACTGTTTTCAAAGTGGAAAATGGTTTCAGTTCGGGGTGGTCGGGAGTGGAGGTTTCGCTTTGAAATCTCTGTTCTCCATCGGCCATTGGCGGAACCTGAAGCAGGTGTCGGCTGCGTGGAACGCTGGGGTGGGGTGGTGACAAAGGATGTGTGAGGTGAATGGAAGGGAGGGCAGTGGAGTTATGGGAGAGAGGGGATGCACAGCCTCTGGGGCTGGGATAGTAACACGGAGATGAAAAAAATGACCTTTGGTGATGCCATTAAATCATCCTTTATACTAAACATAAATTATCGACACAGTTTTAAAAAAATAATTTTCTGTTTCATTTCAAGGCTGGGGAGAGAGGAAGGGCCAAAGCAGGGCAGGAAGGAAGGGAAGGTCTGGGGAGGGTAAATACCTCAGCACTTTAACAGGTCCCTGGACCTCACTGCAATTTCTTTATTTAAAAACTCTTCATGTAAGTGTGACTAACACTCTATCAGTCATCCCCTTCCAGGGTAGCTCAATGCACATGGTGTGGCAGGTAGGGGACAAGCAGGGACCCTACCTTGGCCTAAACTCAGATCAGAGTTCCTCATCCTCTGAGCTGGAGCCAGTGGAGGTGGGATGGGCAGGCAGAGATCACAGCTTCCTTGCTCTCACCAGATTCTCCCTTAAGGAGTAACTTGGCTTGTTCCCAGCAGGAGAAAATGGTGAATTTTGGTTTGGAGAAGAGGAGACTGCAGTTTAGAGAAGGTTGAGAACCATCAATTCACTTGCAAAATGGCAAATAGGACTCACAGGATGCAAAAGAAGCCCCAGACTAAGCAAACATAGATTGGTGCATAGTGTAAAAAAAAGTCTGCCAGAAAAATAGAAATCAATTCAACATAGACCACCAGATTGTTTTCTGCTCATGCTGTCCTTCTGTGACATTAGCAGAAATTAAAATTAGCTGTTTTAAATAATAGTAACAACACAAATGCCATCAAAATGTCTTTCCTCTGAGCTGCAGAGCAGCACCTTCTGAGGGCCAAGCCTGCCTGCACTGCTGAAGGGCAGTTCAGATGGGAGGAGGAGCAGTTGCCTGGAAAATAAGTCTACCCTTGCAGATTTCTGGAAGGTGCATTTATGGGGTTATTTTGAGGCCAGCACAGAAAATCAGAGTGATTTTTCTGCCTACGCCATCCTGCTGCCACACAAACCACTGACAGACAGCACTGCTTCAACACACAAACCTTGGAGAAATTACCAGAGGCAAGTGCACAGTGCAGCCCCTAAAAACATTCCCAAGCACAGCCTGAAGACCCCAAGACAGCCTTCACCCAAGAAAGTTGTGTATCCTCAGTCTTTACCTGGGGAAAACTTGCCTCCATGCAAGACCCAGAAGATTCAGAGGGAATTGCAACATTCTTGGAAACCTAAATAAATGTTGATCGCTTGCCTGCCCCAAAATACTTCATTTCTCTTGAAATAACTTACATAAAACAGCACTTCATTAAGACATGGTGGGGGAGGAGGAGGTAATTTAGTATAGTTATTTATTTATTTTTGTTCTGCTTTAAGCCTATCTATGTAAAGCTCTCATGCAAAAAATTGCCTTCCAGTTTAGCTGAAAATTGAATGGACACTTCTGGGAAAAAATAATAGGAAACTTTTTAAAAAAGCCAATTCTCCTTCACACAAGGAATTAGCTGGTTTTGGAGGTTGAACAGAAAGATTGAGGGGAACTAAAACAATTTAGACTGTTAATACTGAAACCAGAGCTGTCAGAGAGCAAAATGAACGCAGTTAAAGTTATGGTGTTGGTAGGTTTGAAGCAGAAATTGTGGGCCTACAGGAAGCCCAGCAGAACTGAAGGTTTGGAGAATCATTCAGGACCCATTCGGATGAGCACCATCATTCTGTAGGGACTCCTTCCTCACATCTGTAGCTCTTCCCCAGCCAGGGCTCTCTTCTGCTTCACCACAGCTCCTATCTGACTTTCACCACCCTCTTGATCACTGACCCTTCACTGGGAATCAAGTTCTTGTCCATTTCCTTCTTCTCCCTGTATTCCAGTAGGCTTCTTTGATCCTTCCTCTTAGTATCATTTCCTCTCGAAGCCCCTTATTAAATTATCTTTGCCATCCCCTGCAAGCTCATCCTTTCTGACTCCCAGACAGCTCTAAGCATCAGAAGTCTGGCCTTAATCCCTTATTTTCAATATTGCTACTTCCAAGTTTCAAAGTCTTGTGTCTCAGACACTTCCCAGTCCTCTCTGTCTCTGAGTGTCCATCCACATGTCCCATTGTAGTAACTTCCAGTCACAGCTGGGGAGTGTGTGGGAGGTGGGATACAGAGGAAATTGCTTCTAGGAAGCAGCATATGTTGAGTGGGGGGAATAGCCCAACTTTCTGCCCTACTTTTCTGGCTCTTCTTCTCCACACTAAATTTTTCAGGCATGTAATGAGCCTGCATGCTCCTGCCCAGCAGCTTCTCACCAGGATGAATAGTTCCAGGAGATATTCAACCCTAATTTGAGGGTGTTGCTTCCTTTGTATGATCCAGGAATACCTGTGGGATGAAATCCCAAATATGCAGGCTGAGCAAGATGAAAGCTGAAACAATTGCCTTTTTTTCCTCTGTGAGATAAGACTGCTTCTCCATTTGGGGCTCTGCCTGTTGGTGCCTTCGTGGCTCTTCATCTTTGTCTGACTCTTCAAGGCCAGGCTGGACAGGGCTTTGTGCAATCTAGTTGGGTGGGAAATGTGCCTGCCCATGGTAGGGGTGTTTAAACTAGGTGATTTTTAAAACCTCTTCCATTCTATGATTCTATGATTATGACAACCCTGCACTACTCAGTAATATGACTTTTTTTTTTTTTTTTTTTTTTGGTGAACGAAACTTCCAGTGGCCACAGTGTCATTTATATGTCCCTTACTTGCAATTTGCCAAGAGATTTGTCTGTTTGCCCTTTACCAACAGTAAATGCAATTGATGGATGAAATCTGAATCACATGATGCTTCCAATAAAATAAGGATTCTCTTTCTAAAGAGCTACCAGCATAGTATCTCTCCATTTGTCAAACTGTCTCAATGGATGAGAAGATAAGAACCTTCCACAGTCAAAATTAGAGTTGGAGCCTTCGGAGGTGGAGCACCAGTGCAGGAAAAAGCGGGGCAGAGAGTTTGAAGGAAAAACTGGTTCTCTCTTGCATTGGAATGATTGGTTTGTGTTTTAAACCATCCCTCCTCCACCACCTGAAAACAAGATACCATATAATGATGTCACACTGGAAAAACACATAGGAGAAACGAACGGCGGGTGTGACAGCAGTTCCCCGGGCAGTGTGGGCACGATTCCTTCCGAAGTGGGGTTCTCCATCGGAGCGCGGCTCCTCCCGCGGCGGCGGCCGGAGCGGGCGGTGCCGCTGTCCGCGGTGCTGATCCGCAGGGACGCGGCTGTCCGTCTGTCCGTCTGCTGAAATCTCCCTCTTACCAGGAGACTGGGGACTGAACTGCTGTAGGCTCTTTGTGAACACTACTTGAAGCAATTAGGGGTTGTAATTTAAAAAATAAATAAAAGAAAGGGCACACCAGGCACTTGCTACTGAGAGGTGCTGGGCTATAAAGCTGTTGCATCATCCAGCAGGATCCAGTCTCTCTCAACCTCTCCTAAATCTGCCTCTTAATTTCAGTCTCCAGGAAGGCCATAAGCCAGGATTTGTTCTGTATTAGCAGAAGAAGGAGAAAAAGGAAATTAAAAGTGAGAGAAGGTTTGAGCTGCTCTTGTCCTAGTGGCCAATGTTCTTGGTTACCAGGGTGAATATTCTGTGTCTTTTCTCATGTACAGCAGTGGATTTTCTTATATTATAAACCAACCACTGTCTTTTCTGATGCAATGTTTGTTGGTTGGGATTTTTTTTCCTCTTGTAGCATTTCTCTCTCTCCTGCCGTTCTGTTCCTAACAGTGCCTCTCAGTATCTACAGCTTAACTGACTTCAAAGTTGTGGGTCATCAACGCCTTCTACATTTAGCCTGGAGTTGCACAAGAAGGTTCAGTTGCACAGGAACAACAATTCAGTCTCTTGCTGATTTCTATTGTTTCAATCTAGCTACATAAGAATGAGGCTGGACTGGAACAGGTCACAGCCGGAATCAATCCCAACCATCTCTCCAGCAATCAGAACAACCTGCTGGGAGCTGAGTAACGGCTGAATTCTTGGTGAGAGAAATTATAGGCATAAAAACAAAATCAAATATACTCGTGTGCTCATTCAACATTTCAAAGCATATTTATAGGTACTGCTGTATGGCATCTTAAATATCAGAGTTTAAAAAGAAGCTGGATCACTGCTGTTGAGGAAAATAATTTTTCTGTTCTGTCACTTTCACTATCTCTGCCCCTGATGAAAAAGGGAGAGAAAGACACTGAATTACACACCCATTCAGCCTCTGTCATCACTTCTTTGGGCTGTTTGGATAGTCCTGGGAAGGATCTGTGAAGATTAGGAAATCTGAGGGTCATCTGAAGGTCATTCCTCAGCACTGGTGTAGGAACAAGAGAGCTGGGCAGGAATCTGAAGCTCAAAAAAAGCTGGAGATCTCTTCCTCTATGAAGAGGTGATGGCTCAGTAGGTGAACAGATGACTTTGCAGTCCTAGCTGAGACCCTTCCTTAGACTGCTCCACTGTATTCTTCTCCTGCACCCAAGTCCTGCTGTCATTGGGAGGAAAAGCTGAAATTTTACCACTGATGAAAATCTCTACACAGGGGAAATATTTCCACCTTATTTCTTCACTTTTCAAAACGACAGAATATTTGAGAATGGCTTAGATTTTAGGAGGGAGAATATCCTTCAAAAAAATTCCCAGGATCACTGGAAAATGGACCTGCATTCATTATAGAGAGGTGAGGCAGAGAGCTACAGCCGCCAAGGCCTGTATTGCAATTGTCTGTGAGAAACAGCACTGAGCAGCTAAGAGTATTTGTCTTGGGAACTGTAGTCAGTGAACCTTGGGTGGGAACCAAGCTAAATCAGCAAACTTGCTGTTGGTCCAGGATCAGAATGAGCTAAAACTCCTGTATCGCATGCCTGAGACTCAATTACTGTGTAATCTCTGTGGCATAGACATCTAGGAACCTCTGTGGATAGCAGATGGCTGCTGAATGGTGAGAGCAGATGACAGATTCTGGGCAGTGCTAAACCAGAAGACCTCAAATCCTGATTACAAAAGTCAGTTCTTGAGGTTAAATCAAGCCAGGCACCTGAGCAGAAGGGATTCATGCAGCATTGCACAAAGCCAACACACTACCAGACATGGGAGGGCTCTTGTAAAAAGCTCCACCTGCCCTCCTCTCCCCAACACACATTCACATATGCTGCCACATACAGGAAAAAATATCAAGGTTATGTGTTTCCTGAAATATGGTTGGCTGAATAAATACACTTACTGAGAACTCTTTGTAAAACAATAGCAGAAAGAGTAACAGTGCATCGCTGCCATGGGAAATAAAAAGGAAAGTAACCCAACTGCAATTCAGCTAGAATCATTCCAAACCCCAAAGGTTGGCCTCTTTTTTTTTTCTTTAATGTGTCTGACATTTTATGGCATCAATAATGCAAACAAAGAGGAAATCATATTTGCAGAACACTAATGCACGGATGTCTAAAGCGAAATACAATACTGATTACTTTTTAAATGAAGCCACCAGGTTTTGATGTGCTGTGGTGGTTAAATTGGTCCATCAAATTCCTTCCAAAGTAAATTCCAGTCCAAAGCAAGAGCTTGACCTTTTCTATAACCCTGGGTAGCCTTTTCAGCTGTATTCTGATTGGAGGTAATAAATGTTAGTTTGAAGGAATCTTCCTGATGGGTCGAATTACAGAAATGTCACAATTCCTCCTCAAGTTGAGGGGAAACCGAAGATATCTCACCTCTTCACAGGCTGTCCAAAACCTTTGTCAAATATAATGGCAAGGCTACTGTGAAAAGCTGTGGGTGAGAGGAGAGATGGGCTCTGAAAGAGATTTCTAGACGTACTATTGGGATTTTTCCCTTAGGGCTAGTAGTTATCTCTTCAGCACCTGATAGATTTTCACTCGCCTAGAACCTCCTGCAGATGACTGCAGAGCAATGTCTGAGTAGGAAAATAAGTGAATGAATAAGCAGGTGTGGCAAAACTATACAAAGAAACCTTCCCTTCCTTTTCTATATTTTTTACATGTTTTGTTTTGGTTTTTTTTTAAATAATCTCAGAGATGCATCTTAAGAACCCCAGACAGGATTGTCTCTGCTAGCACAAAAGTGAAGAAGCTGATGTGGTCCTGACTAGGAAATCCCACTGCTCAAGCTCCTCCTACAGCAAAAGACAGAAGGACTTGGGGTCAGGCCTATGCTTTCAACTTATCAGCAGGAGCATTCATTTCTGGAGCCAAGGGGCTTCTTTTGCAATGTCTTCTGACTTGCACTGAGTTAACTCTGTGAATTTCTTTAATTCATGCAATTGTAGTTTGGTAGACAGGGTTCATTGTGTGCCTGTGTGCTGGTGAGTAGGATTGGATGCCACCATCTCACATCAGCTGGGAGTTTGTCTGCCATTTAGATCACATCTGATCAGAGCTTTGTGTTTGGGGGATTGTATGTCTTGGAAATAATCAGTGCAAGCAGCTAATTGCCTCTAGTTAACTAGTGCCTTTTAATTAGGACTGTACTGCTGGCTGGATACATGAAGGGAGCTGTTTGTCACTGGCAAAAATTTCAGCCTTGTGATGTAAACCTCTTTGGGGAATTAGAAAAAAAATACAGGCTGGAGCTATTGTCACTTTAGCACAGCAGAAAATCAGTTTCAGCAGAACTGGCCTGGATGAGGTTGGAGTCGTGCTTTGCTGGGGTCAGAAATGATAGCAGCTGCTCCCCACCCCTTCCTCCTGTGCAGAAGGGTGGGACACTGTGGGCTTCAGCTGGGATTTACAGGAGATACCCCACATGCATTACAATGAGCGTTGCTGTAAAATTCACTGCACAGAGGTTAATCTAGATGTCAACACTGCCTGACAGCAGTGAAATTACTCCGGGGCAGTGCTCCTTCTGAAGTCTTAATATAACAGTCAATTCCATCCTGCCTGCAGGAAATGAAAGTTTTCTGCTTTGTGTGCGGAATCATCCGGCGCCAATTTTCTCACTGTTTGAAGTCCAAACTGTTTGTGGTCTTGGGATTCACCTCACATTAAGACTTTCACTTCATTTAAAAACTCTGCTAGTGAAGTCCTGAGAACTGCAAGGACAGGAGCTGCACAGGGAGAAAAAGAAGAGGGCATGGAGGGAGAAATCTGATCTCACCTACCACACTGAAATCAAACTGCTTCACCAGTCCTCTGAGCTCAGTAGAGGGAGGGAATGCAGAAACTCAGTTCTCTGAGTATCAAGCAGCAAAGACTGAAGAGGCTGGAAGCCAGCAGAGAGCAAGAGAAAACATGCAAGAAGACATTTGGACCGCCCAGAGCTATGATTTTCTTTAGAGGTATTTCAGCCCTTCCCTGCTGGGACCTTGTCCTAAGCTGCCAGTAAGTCTGCAGTTAAACTTCCCCTCAGAACAACGTTCCAGTTTGCAGCAGTGGGATCAGTCACTTGTGCTGGGAGGGAGAGCAGTTCCTGTGGAGGACTCCTGACAGCGTGGGGAAGCAATGGTTAGATTTGTGATGCCTCTTCCCCTCTCAGAGATGCTAAAATTGTGGGACTAACAGAAGAGAGGAGGAACCAATGGTCATTCCTTTAATTTGGAAAGAGCTGTCAGATTGGGTCTGTGAGAAACCCGAGCCTCCAACATGAAAGTGATCTACCAATTTACTTGACTGTTGGGGAAAGCTGGAATATATTGTCCTTCCTTCTTTTCAGTCTCTTATCTCTTTCCACAGTTCAGTTTTTCAAAACTGCAAGCAATAGGACTCCAATCACATCTCTCAGGGAGAAGTTTCATGGCTCAGTGTTGCATTGGAAAGGAAAAAGAGGCACAAGAGAGATGGAATTCTCCTCCATTCCTCCCAGAACAGCGACTGACATCTCTGCCTGTGTCATTTATGACACTGCCAGCCAGAACAGATGTTTTGAAAACACCTACTTTCTCCAGGCTGGAAACTCAATATCTCTACTTTCAAGGACAGCAACAAAGGGAAAAGAATTTTTAGGATTTAGCAGCTATGTAAATATTAAATGGGTACTGATGTAAGAGACGCCTTGGTGCGGGAGCGGAGAAGCTGCCTTAGATTTAAGCAAGTCTATCCACTCCTGAAAAGCAGTACTGATGGGGGGGATTTTCTCTTCTTCTATTTTTGGAACTCATTTGGACACACCACCATATGCCAAGGCTCTATGAGCCCACCATTCATCAGAAAGCCACTGAACATAAATGGAGAAGAAAACTTGTTTTACCAAGACACGCCTGTGCCTGTGAGTCTCAGCCTGTTGATGTCCAGAGCCTTCCAGCTATCAGAGGAGCCACCACAGCGTGGTATCACAGCCAGGATCTCCTTTATTCCCCTTGCTTATTCTCATCATTGCCCTACAGCCAGAGAACACACCTAGAGCTTTTACAAAAACATTGGGTACAAGCCATGGCTGTAGTGCTTCAGCTGATTCCTGGCCAGATCAGGAAAGGATGTAGATACTCCCTGGGGAGGGAGGAAATTAGAAAGATTTAAAAACAAACTTTTTAAGATAACATGCTGAACAAACTGTTTTCACACAGACTGGCACATGAAGGAATGCTGATCAAGTGTTCCAAACTACCTCTGGCTTTGGGGGCTTGTGGTGACCGTGTCTGCAATCTTCACCCCATATCCTGAAGTAAAGAAACCTACACATTTGAGTTCTGTGAAGTAAGAGCCTTTCATGTGAAAGGAAACAGCTCATATGATACTTCTGTCTGTGCCCCTGAAACAGCATAACTTTTGAGACCTTCTTTTAGTTGTATTTTCTTACAGGAAAAAAAAAAATACAGAAAAGCACAAAGCCTAGTGATTTTGTTTCCCACCTGTATAAGTGGTCCCTTGATTTTATCGGTTTCTGCCTTCTTTTTAAACCAGTATTTGCCCAGCTTCACAGATAACTTGTCCTGGAGCTGCAGTACGTTGCTATTTTCTTTTGTTTTTGCTTGTACCCATTGTGCTACTTAAAATTCTACACCACACTCCCCAAATCTGTCTTGATTTCCCAACCCAAGATACTCAGTTGCCTCCTAAAACCAGCTTTTCCCTTTCCTTGGCTCTTTTATTCCTCCACACATTTTCTCACCTTGTTCCACCCACTCCTAGGGACAAGCAAACAGCTCAGAGCTAACGATGTCTCTCAAGCAAGCAGCCCATTTAAAGGCATTCCACAGTTTTCACTTTTGTCTGAGCAGCAGAGGTCCCAGAGCCACCCATCTGCAATTCAGCACCCGGCAGACCCAAGGATAGGCAGTACAGACTTTTTCACCTCCCAAAATCCATGCACTGAGGGACATTTGAAAAGGCCAGATGGGCAAGTTTTGCAGGACGATGGACATTCAGCCTGGCAGACCTCTGCATCTCTTCCCTTTGCTACATTTCAGCTTCTGTCTTGCAACCTGACAGACTGGAGTAGAAAGAAATAATGGCAGGAGAAAACAAACCAGGTCACTGATGAGACCCTGAGGCTGGAGCCACATTCACTGCCTGCAGTTTGCAGCCCTGGCACAAAATTTCCACCTGTACCATGCACCAAAATAACACCTTCACTTCCAAGAAAGCATCACTTCAGTGACACCCTTGGGTGACTGAGTTGGTGCAAAAAACTTTTATTTTTAGGGAGCAGCATGCAGCTGGGACAGGGAGGAAAGACCTTAAGGCCCCTTCCCAGCTGTGCTCAGACTAGTGTTCCTTCCAGCTCCCTTTCACAAGTCCCTTGAGAAAACTGCAGCTGGAAGAGGCTGGGGGTTGGGAAGGTCTGCCTGGATGTGTTGGAAACTTGGCCTGGCTTGCCCCAGAGCTGAGCGAGACATGTTCCTAGGCAGCAGAGATAGCTCTCTGCTCTGAGTAGAGGCAGGGCATAGGGAAGTATCTCTCTGAGAAATAAAAAGCATGAACTCATTTCTCTTTGACTCCAAACACTCAGATGTTGATACTCTGTGAGAGTTTACCCCAAAATCTGCTTTTCTTCTCCTCATGCATAGCCCCATCACAGAGCCCCTCTTCCTACAGGGAAGATCACCAGTCCAAGCTGATGGGAAGCTCTCTTCTGCTCCAGGAAAGGTGCTTCTGGAAATGAGGTCTCAGGGTGTTCACCAGGAATGCAGCACAGCTGCTTTCCCTCTTCCCCTCCAAAACTGTCATGCCAAAAAGGGATGCAGCAGTTTCTATCATGTGTTTGAACAAAAAGCCATCTTCTCCTTGATCCCAACAAACCTCCATCCAACAATGACAGGCCAAGGGGGCCAGAGCAGATGTCACAGCACAGAACTGCAGCTTATCCAACTCTTCTGAGCAACAGTTCCCAATTAAATCTGATGGAAGGACCTTTCTCCAAGGCTGTCACTGCCCATGGTGGGGCAAAGAGCAAAGCAGCCAGAGCCTGAGCATCTCACCACCTTCTTCAGTCATTTACCATCTTATGGGGACACATAAACTCTCCTCACAGGCCAACTAATCCTAAACAAGCAGCATCAAGGCTCAGTGTCAAACTTGGCTCCTGAGCTCACCTCGTTGTTGTGACAGCACAAAGAGGTGGTGAAAGGGACAGGGTGGTGGTGCTGGGGAGGAGGGGAAGGAGGAAAGAAGTGAGGAAGGGAGGATGTAGCTGCTGTGCAGCTGTGATGAAGGAACCTCATCAGTTGGGAAGCAGTGTCTGTAAGCGACTTCGTAGTGTAAAAGCCCATGACATTGGCCAAAAAAAGAAATGACAGCATGGGAGTGAGAGAGAGGAATGAACAAAACTGTGGCCTTGTGCAACCTGGAACAGTACCTGGGAGCCACTTGGGGTAAGAGACAGGCTGCCCCAGGAAAGGATTTTCTCCTGGAGATGCTGGACAATTAACAGACATTGCTTATTCTCTCCTTGTGCTGAATCTCCAATCCTTTCAGCCAAGCAGCCTGCACACAAAGGGAACCAGGCTGGGGGCAGCAACCTTTTAACCAGTCTTTTCCCCTTTCAAAGTTGGTAGTAAGTAGGCAGAATATCCTCTTCCAAAAGAGCAAGACTCTGCTATGGAGAGGCAGCATGGTACAGCATTCCTGTGTGTGGACTCCTGGTGCTGGCCCACAGCCTTGTCCATGACCATGCCATCTCTGGTGATGCTGTGAGCACCTGGTGTCTGTTCCGTGGCAGTCTGTCCAGGCCCCACTGGCATGAGTCTGTCCCATGAGCCCAGATCTCTCTAACAGGCAAAGTCATGTCCTCACTCCCATGAGGCTACTGCCACCCACCATCTCCCACCCCAGGCTCTCACTCCACATTGCACAGACACAGAATAAACGCATAGCTGCTGTTGCCACCACAATCCTCCTTTTCTATCTGAAACATCAGACAGGTCATGCCAGTGCCATGAGCGAGGGACATTGACTGTCAGGAGACATGGGGCATGGGGAGAGGATGCAAGACCTTCACTTTCAGTGCAAACCATAACCAGTCACCTAGCTGCCCTTGCATCCTGGACATGAATATCACTCTGGCCATGGGGAAGGAGCCAAGATCCCTTCTCTGTCTCCTCTTCCCCCATCTGCATTGCCTTCCACAAGTGCCACATCTGAGCAGGCTATTTTTGTGCTGGCAGTTGTTGCCTTCTCAAAATTGCCTTGACAATGCCTGTGCCGCCCGTTCCCTGCCTCCTGAGAGCAGCTGCCAAGCTGAGGTTCCCCCTCATCCTCCATAATCCGTATGACAAAAAGGCCCAGAAAGGTTCTGTAATTTCAGCCCAGTCCGGAGAGGCAGGATTCAGCATCTGACTGAGTGTCTCCCCAGGTCAGGATTATTTTCTGCTCCGGGGAGATCGGCCATAGTGAGGATGCTGCTGTCTCTCCCTCCCTGTCCCCACCACCCCCTGTTGCTGCCTGTCAGGCCTTTCTCCTCATTGGGATGCAAGGCTGGCCGCTGCGGCCATCCGCTGAGCCGTCTGCTCCTGGAGGCACCTTCCCCTCCTTCCCCCCTCCTCCCGGGGCTGCCTGTGGAGCTATTCTTCAGCCTCTGCATTTCACAACAGCTCAAAGGCAGATGCATCAATCCTTTCAGGGGATGGGGACGTGAGGAGAATGGCAAGGGAGCTGCAGGCAGGTGTTGGTAGGTTCCCAGCCATCTCACAAGCCTGGTCCCCCTCCCTGTCCCCCACTGGCTTGTGCCTGAGGCTTGGACTGAGGCATGGGACAGGAATGGGGAAGGGGAGAGGATGGGGGGGAAGAGCTCTGGGATATGCTGACCCCACAGAATGCCCAACAGGCGTGTTCCCAGCTGTCTGCACCCTACGGGCTTTCCCCCATGCGGAGAGCAAGGATCCAACCCTGCTCACCGAAAGTTTACACCAGGGGTCGATTTGGCCCTGGTGCAGACAGATGAGGACAGGGGAACAACCCCATGGCCACCAACCAGCCCCATGGCCACCAACCAGCCCCATGGCCCCTAACAGCCATAAGGGTGGGGTGGAGCGGGGTTGTTCCTCCTGAAGTGACGCCTGTGCTGGACGCCCTGGGTGAGCAGCACTCCTGTCTCACACACTGGAGTCGGTTGGGGATGATTCGGGACCGGGTCCCCAGGGCCACCCCTCGACTCCCAGGCTTGGTCCCGTGGCTCTCCCAGCTCTGGCAGAGGCTGGAGGGCTGGGGCAGGAGCCTGCAGCCTGCGGGAGGGCGGCTGCTCCCCGGTGTGTGTTTTACCCGTAGGTGCCACAATCCTTTGACTGTGTGTTTGAAAGCCTTGAGTCTATACATTTAAGAATCAGCAAATTAGAAAAATTGTCCTGAAATGTCGGAGGGAGGAAAAAGGCAGGAAGGCAGAAAGGGATGAGGAGGGACTAAGAGGAAGGGGTTGGTAAAAGAGAGTTCATCCAGGGGCACTGCCCTGGCTTTGTGCCCATCACCTGCGGGCTGGCAAGGAGGGAGGGAGCAAGGACGAAAAGGGAGGACTGATTTCACACATTCAGTGCATATCATACAACCAGGGCAAGGCTTTCTTCCTGCAGCTCCTACCCAGGATGGCATCGCTGCCACAGCCAGTCTAGAGCCCTGCCCAGCTGCCCGAACCATACTCACAGCAGGGTTACATTTCACTGCTTGATTGCTCGGGGGAAAGATACCTTCTCCTTTCTTTCTTTCTTTTTTTTTTTTTTTTTTTTTTTTTTTTTTTTTTTTTTTTTTTTTTTTTTTTTTTTTTTTTTTTTTTTTTTTTTTTTTTTTTTTAATATATAGTCTCACAATTTTCTGTAACAGCAGCTTCTTTCTGTATTGGTGTGGAAGTTATATATAGAGAGATATCTATAAATATATATAAGCCAAACTGCCTTACAGGTTGTTGTTCTGTGGGATTTTTGTTGGTTTGCTTTTTGTTTTGCTTTTTTTTTGTTTTCAGTGTTGTATGTGTAGCAGGCACTTGAGTTTATATGAAGATGTTTGCTTGGGAGCTGAGGGGGAAAGGGTTTGGGAGGAGGAGAGGGAAGGAAGGACGGGAGGAAGGAGCAGGGACTTCCAACAAGTGGCCACTGCTAGCCAAGGATGTCCAGGTAGATTGGTGTGGCCTTGCCCAGAGCATGGAGGATCTTGTAGATCTCCTTGATGTTGAGCCGTTGCTGAGGTTCCCTCTGCCAGCAGCCCAACATGATGTCATAAACCTCCTTGGGGCAGACTCGGGGCCTCTCCAAAACTCGGCCTTGGGTAATGCACTCAATGACCTGAAAGAAAGAGAGAAAAGAAACACTGAACACCAGCTGGGCAGCTTATGGAGGGTGTCCTGTCCTTGATACTGCTTGGCTGATGTGGCAGCATTTAGTGAATGGGAGCACTGAGAAGCCAAATCTCAGATCTGCACATCTTCAATGATCACCTATTTGTTGCTAATGATGATTTTACCATGAAAAGTTTGTCTTCACCTGCAGTTTTTCAGGTCCCAAAAAAACCTTCCCCGTTTGACACCTACCTACCTCAATGCACTCTCCAAAGAGGAGGCACAAGGAAATGAAATAGGTTTTAATTTATCATGTAAGTTTTTCCTGCTAAATGAAGAAGGAAAAGAAGTCTTAAAATCCCCAAAGTACAGGAATATTTTGCACAGCTGAAATTATATTTTTCTTGTCTGAAAACCAAGAGTCCTTTCCATTGCAAAGCCCAGGAGAGGTTTATAAGGAAGAGTTCAGAGCATCTTTTCCTACATACTTCTCCTCTCTCTGACATAGAAAAGCAACTAAAATAATGAAATTTCATGTCAAATCACATCTGTGAAGGAGAAAAAAAATTACAATGCTATCACTCTGTTTTGGGTCAGATCCGTGCTACTAATGAGAAAAATGTGAGGTCGTGGATAACAGTAAAGTCTCTTCAGAGGGATGCCATTGGAAAGGACTCCCTATGGGTCTCTTTGTGTACTGTTTACTGGAGGAATGACTGAAAAGGAAAGGGAAACATGAGTTTCCAGAGAGCTGCTATTACTGCCTGGCCTCCTTGGTTGGGGTTGATGAGTCCCAGCATTGCAGCGTGCGAGCAGCCTGCCACGCTCTGCAGATAAACACCAGTCCCAGGCAGCGTGTGGAGGGAAGCCACCCAGCAAGAGGTGCTTGGAGTTTATGATTTATGAATAGAAATGGTCCCACCATGCAGCTCAAGGGATACTTATCACTGTGCTGTTTGCATATAAATACAGAGGGGAGAGATTAGGACCTGCTGAAAGCAGGGAGAACAAGAGACAACATGAAGAGAAGCCTGCATTGCCACAGCACTGCTGGATGCTCACTGTGGGGAGGAAGTGAGTTATGGTTCCTGTCAAGACATCCTGGACATGCACAGGAACCCTGTGCTGGGCTCTTTCTCTCCAGGGCAAAGGAAAAGCATAGACAGAAGTTAAAGGACTGGCTGAGTGGTGCCCTGCTTCATTCCTCCGCTCAGAGAGGGTTTCTCCCATCCTTGGAAAATGCTGTGGGGGTATGAGGCCATGCAGGTGGCACAGGAGGGAGTGGACATCCCAGATTTGCCAACACCAACACCCAGCAGGGGCGATGCTTGGCCAGCCTGGTGCTGCTCCTGGTCCAGTTCTGGCAGCCAGGAGCTTGGCACAGGCTCATTGACCTGTCCCTCCATGGGCTCTGCCCCTCCATGGGGCTCTGGCACTGCACCTGGACTGCCATAGCGACTTGCTGTGATGCCACAGCATCCAGGAGCTGGTGGAGGTGTCAGTCCTCTGCAGCCACATGGGTTCTGCCCATCCCTCCACAAGCTGTGAAAGATGAGACTGATGAGAGCTAATGTGGCTCCCTCCCACAGGAGTATTCCACCAGGATACTGTGGCCAGCAGGCAGAAAGAAGTGGACAAACCAACAGGTAAGGGAAGGATCATATTTTATCCCAGGGATGGTAGCAAACAAATACACCCTCCAGATTAAGGGTGGCTGTTTTCAGCCCTACTGCCCTGCAAAGGAAACTGAGGCAGGATGCATGGGCAAAGCCAAGCTGTCACGCTCCAGCGTGCCTATTGCCCATGTTCAAGCTCCGTGTGCTCATTTGTGTGTGTGTGTATTTGCCCTCACAGGGAAATGCAAGAGCAGCTCATTAAATAGCGTGACAAATAACTTCTGTCGCTGTCGATTCCATTGTTTGTGCCTCTGAAATGTTTGCGTGTGCTACTTTGGGATGTACAGTCAGGCCCCATTGAGCACACGAATGGGCAAGTATTAGAGCTGTAAAGCAACACCTTGGATTTGCCATCTCTGCAAACTCACTTAATTAAGGGATCTGTATCCAGAAAGCAGAAAATGCACATTTTTCATTACAAAAGGTGAAATTTCTGAAATCCATTAGATACACAGTAGGATAAAAATGTTCAAGGTTCCCACACACTGCTACGTCAAAGCATCTTTTTCCTCTTCTATAATACCTCCTGCTATTCCAAGCAAAAATCTTCCAATGCATTTCTGCTGATGTGCCTCAAACCTCAGCAGTGACACCCTGCTAATCCCAGCCAGCCTTCCCTCAACATTTTTACAGTGCAGCTCTGTCCTGGTGGGCTGCAAATTTTGCTAGTCAAAGAAATAACAAGGGCAAACAAGCTCCATGGGTTCCACCCTCAGTGAACTGGGGCAAACCATATTATAGATAACCCAATGGCAAAAACCCCAAGGAAATGTGCCACATGAGATATATCAGGCTTAAAACAATGTCTCACAAACTGCAGACTGCAGTGAGCTTTAGCTGCAAAAGGAGAAACCAGGAAAATTCAAGGCATGACTTAGATCTCAGCAGTAATTTGGGTATCCCCAGTTCTGGCAGCACCCCAAGAGTTTATAAGATATGAAAGATACGTCAGGAACTTAGCAGCGAGGGGCTGAGGATTAGCCAGTACGTGGCTTTGGCAGAGCTCTTTGATTCCTGCAGGCCCCAGTTTTCCCAGCTCTTGAACTGAGATAATGACACTTATCCTACTGCTTCAGCATGGGAGTGCCAAGGAGGGGACCATCCATGTACAAATTTCATTGCAAACAACCTGGAAAGCAAAGACAGCAAAAAATAAAGTTTTCAGCTGAGGCGTCTCAGCACTGTTGTACCTCTGTGTTTGAGAGCTGGAACCAGGGCTGCTTCCCATAGGTGAAAATCTCCCAGAGGATGACCCCGAAGCTCCAGACATCGCTCTCTGTGGTGAATTTCCTGTACATGATGCTCTCCGGAGGCATCCAGCGGATAGGCAGCATGGTGTGTCCTCCAACCTGGGTGAGGACAAAGGCACAGGGACATCTCAGTGGTGACGTCCTGAGGAAGGGCTCATAGAATTAGACCATTGAGTCAAGCTCCTGGCCCTATGCAGGACACCCCAACAATCACACAAATGTGCCTGAGAGCATTGTCCAAATGCTCCTTGAGTTCTGCCAGGCTTGGAGCTGTGTGCACTTCCCTGTGGAGCCTGTTCTGGTGCCTGAGCACCCTATGTCATGTCAGCTGTGACATCATGTGCAAAAAATCAGGGCCTCCCTGTGAACTATAGCAACAAGGAGTTGTTCCAAAAAGTTGGGCTGGCTCCAGTCCCCCCTACCACTCGTGGGTTTACCCAGCAATCCCACCTGGTTAACACCACACATAGGGAGTGAAGTGTACTAAGATGAATTACATCCTCTCCACCCAAAATGCGCTGGTAAGGCAATCAAAGGCAAAATGACAAGAACATACTCCAGCCCCACAGTCTGGTGAACCTGGACACAGAGCAAGAGTGGTCAGCAAAGCATTTCAGAGCCTCAGTACTCTGAGACACCCACCAGAGAGAGCATGAGGGCTGTCCCTCTTCAGAAAGGTTCCCTAAAAGCCATGCACAGGCATCTGTGCATCACCTAATTGCATGAAAGCTTTTTCACTCACAAA